GATCCTTCTGCCTCTGCTTCCCAAGTACTGGGACTAAAGGCATGCATCATCACATCTTACTTCCTTTTAAACAGGCTCTTGCTTTGTAGCCCAAGATGGCTTCAATCTTGTGGTAATCCTCCTGTCTCAGCTTCTAAGGGAGGAGATTATAGGCCTGTACCATCACATTCTGTGTAGCTAAATATAAAAGCACATTTACAATCTAAATCCAGGGTTGGCTCGAGAGGTGGCTCATCAGTCAAGAGCACTGGTTGTTTCAACAAACTTCGGTTTAATATCCAGCTCCTACATGGTGGCTCGATATCTTCAAGTACAGTTCTCTTTTAGCCTTCTTAGGCACCAGGCACACACAAGTGATGCACAGGCACAACACCTGTGCACACTAGTAAATAAATAAAAATCTAATCTCATGGAAAAGGTCAATTTAGAAAGGCTTTATGACCAAAATCCGTTCAACTTAAGTTCTACTTTCTGTGCTTACATGTTACTTCTTTAGTATCTTTGGTCCTGTGGAAAACCCAAGGAGCCTTTTTCTTAAGTCTCTGTCCTGCCCAGCTTGTCACATCTACATTCCTTTGTCCAAATCCATCAGATTTTATTTTGCAGCTTTTCAGACCCCTTCAGATCTACTTTTAGCCTTTACTTCTCCACCTCGGCCAATTTCCCATTCCATCCTTACCTTCAGCACTGAACCTTGGAATATCGTAGGTGCTCTTCTGGCTCACTCCTTCCTTTACACCTTTGAGATGATGTACAGAGTTTTCTGAAGAAGGCATTTAATTACTGTCAAGCTCTGTAAAACCATTTTAGCTCAAGGTAGCATCCTGGACCCTCTAGCACCTCCTTCAGACCTTCGTGTAGCCATCACATATCCTAAACTCTGACCACCTTCCAAGTTGTACGCTTGTCAGTTTCAACATCTACAATCACTGTAACAGGATCTTGCTTCTTCCTATTTCCATGTCTCTTCCTGGAAGACTTGGGTCCTACAGACTTGCATCCTCATGCCAGCATCCATCAGTCACATCTAGGGTGCTTAAGCTCTTCAGGTCTGCCCTAAAGCTAACTTCAGATGGCCTGACTAAACTAACCCCAGCCTGAATCACCTGTGTCTCTGTAGACTCTTTCCCAGAACTTCTATTCCTGTAGTAATGATGACTTAGACTGAACCACTGTAAGCTAAAATCAGCCAGTTGCAATGCCCCTACAAGTCTTTTTTAAAAACTGAAAATCCTGTTCATGTTTAGCAACCTTGAAAGTGAAAATCACTTAAAACAAATATTTCAAGTAATTTACAGACCCCACTTGACTAGAGGCACCCACTTATTTTAAATTATGCTGAGTGGTTGACTTTATTCTGCAATCAAGAAGCTGGGTATGTAACAACAGGCTTCCTCCTAAGGCATAGAATCTAACCAGACAAGATCAGAAGTCAGTTAAATCTACACTAACCAAATTATATGGCCTACAGGAAATGCCATGTACAGATGTTGAAACTAATTAAAGAACCAAAGAAGTGGATTGGGATTTTAAAAACTGGTTGAAAGTGGTGATGAAAACCAAAAAGCACAAAGAAGATTGGAGAAAATCAACCAGACTTCATCGTAACACTCGGTCCCCTCCATTTGTGTATGTAGCTGTTGTACAGACTGGAGAGGTGACATCTATACTTTATCATGGCAATAATGAAGACAAGCAGCACTAAATCTGCTTCTAGACTCAAAGCCCCTTCAGCAGCCGCCTTAGTGTCTCGCCTACCCTACTCGCTTCACAGGATAGTTGAGGAGACCCCTGTGAAATTACCTGGAAATAAGCAACAAACTGTAGACAAAGCCAGTGTATTGCCAGTCACAGGACTGACAGGCAGAGGGGAGGAGGGGTGCTGACACTGGTTCCACCTCATCTATAAAGAAAAGTCAGAAGAATAGGAAAAGATAAAACAGCCTTAAAAAAAAATCGTTTTCACTATACCATTCTTTCCACTTTTCTGTACATTATTTTTTTTTCCACAAAGAAAAGCAAGCAAGCATCCAAAGGGAGCACATTTAATTTTTTATTACTTTTTTTAAAAAAATCCATCTTTAGATAAATTAACAGACTAGATTAGAATCCTCCATTGTATCTGATACATTATATGCTGGATTTCTATCACTAAAAAGCCAGTTGGAATTTGGCCTACACAAACCCAGAGTGTATACAAAATGGAAGTGATATGGGCAATCACCATGTCTTCCCACCTGCTGACTGTCCACAGGGATTTGTAGGTTCAAGGTGAACACAATGAAAAGCCCAAATGAGACTACTTTTACAGGAAAACCCTGCTCTTCAGAGAACATTTTTCCCCCTTACATTTAGCTCCTGCTTACAGCACTTAAAAACTTTCAAGCAGCCTAAACTGATGAGGTGGAGATAAGCACAAAATGTGTCTTGCCTAGTCCACCAGAACTTCATTATCAGCCTCTTTTATGGCAACTGTGAAATAACTTTTTACCTTTTACCTGCACACACAGCTCCAGTGGAAACGTTAAACCAGGTATGCTCAAGGGAAAGGATAAGCAGTTGCCCTCATCAGGACTGTTAAGTCATACACAACGTCTGTTGGTGTGTGCCTTCCTTCTGTTCTACCCTTTCTGAAAATCTAGTCTAGTCCTAAACACTTTGAAACAACCCTCCTCCATTTCCACTCCTCTGATCTCTCAGAGGACTGTTAAAATACAACTTAACTACACACTTTTACATGATAAAAACATAAACATCTGTGCTTCTGTACATCACCACTCCTCTTACATGTTCCAATAAATCAACAGAATGATGCACTAAGCAATGCTCAGATCTGAACTTAAAACCCAGGTGGAATGGCAGTATGCAGGTTTCTACAAAAGGCTTTTGCCTCTGGAATTCATGCATAGAAGCCCCTTGATGTATTGCTATTCCTGAACAAACTACACTAATACACTTTTTCCTTTTTACATTTGTAAAAATTCAGTAAATTTAAAAATAACATCTGCAAAACATTTGGCATAAAGTGTTAGTAAACATTTAGGAAACAAATGCTATATCAAAATGAGCACAATTTGTGGGTAAACCCTTAAATCAAGTGACTTTCGGAAGAACTAGAATTTGCAGCAACCACATTAAGAGGGCCACCTATCACCAGTAGAACACATGCACACACCAGCCATGAAGTACACATAACAAATGCAATGATTCTAAGGGAATGGGGTTTCTTTGCAAACCACTGCAGTCTGGGAGCCTACTCGATATACTAGGCACACTTCACTGTCTCCCTAGACATCTCCATTTTTTCTTGGGAAAACAGTATATGGATATCCAAGTGGCTAATTTTCAGGAAACATGCTTAAAGATACAAAGTATGTTCTTAGTTTTTGATAGTATTTAAAGTATCAGCTCACAAACTGAGAAGATGTTAGTAAACTAATATACAGCCTTAATGGAGTACAAAAATCCCACCTTCCAATTCACTTAAGAAATGTTCTGCTTGAACTATTCTACCAACTGAGAACCAGGGAGAGCTAGCTAAGACACCTGTGACCTGCATCTTTTTCAAAATAGACGTTGTCACCCCTGTGTGAAGTTATAAATCAATCAACACAAGCCTTTTTATAAAGGAGCTTTCAAGGTAACTTATATTCATTTTAATGTTTTTAATACATTTGAAAATTATTTTTCATTGCAGACTTAGAAGAATTCCAGAGCTCAACCTAGAAGAAAAAACAGGTGCACCTGAAACAGCCATGTTCCCTGAAAACCCTACACCTTCCTGCAAGATTATGAGAAACATTTTATTAAGACAAAATTTGCTGTCTAATATATATCTATATATTCATTCTATTAGGAAAAAAAAGTGTTTCATTTTTAAAGATAGAATGTCATACAGCACAGGATAGTCCTGAACTATATAGATGAGGGTAACTTTGCACTTCTGATCCTCCTGCTTCTACCTGTTGGATGCTGGGATTGCAAACATGACCCGTCATGCTCAGTTGATACAGTGTGGGGAATGGAAGCAGGGCTTTGTGTAAGCTAGGCAAGCATTCCACTATCTGAGCTACACCGCCAACATGTAGACTAAGTGTTCTTGTATTAAAAATATTTTACATGTTTAAAAGTTACATGAAAGAAGCAAATAGTGTCTTTTAGTTTAAGCTCATATGGGCAGGTAATAAAAAGAAAATGTAGGAATTAGAAGGTGACACTGAACCTAAGATTCTGGCTTGAAGATGACTGACCATTTAAGGTTCAGAATCCAAATGCCACACCCTAAAGATGTCACACACCTCAGTTTAGAACACAGAGTCCATCTATTTATAAAAATAACTCATGTAAATAGGAAAGCATGAGTTTCACATTAAGGTTTAATACAGATGATCTGAGTCTTTCTAAAAACCACCAATATACATTATAGTGCTGGGTATCTCCAGCGCAAACTACTTAATCAGAAACTGAATGGCTCTAGGAAAACTTTACAATATGGGCAGATACAGAAAATATATGTGCAAATTAATTTCTTTGAGATTACTGTAGTCTTCAGTTGTTCACCCACTGAATGAGCTAACACTGTTAGCTTAGTCACCTGTATTCCCTTCCACTTTACATGGCACAGCAATCCAATCAATGTTTAGACTTGTATGCCACAATTTCATAAAAAGGGTCTCATTCACTTTGTGACTTTGTGGCCAGGCTTCCGGACTTTGTTCTTATTGAAACAGGGTCTCACAGAGTAGCACAGAACTCACAGTGGCCAGTAACTCACTCTGTACACCAGCAGGCATTACAAACTCCTGTCCAGTTGGCTTCCCTGGTGCTGGGATTATAGGCATAAACTATCAACTTGAGTCTGTGTCTGGGGATTTTAAAGTGTGGGTCCTCTGTATTTTGAAAACTATGTTCTTATTGTGTTTTTTCAAAATCGCATTCTGTAGTATTGCCTTTTGAGCAGGCATCTTCAAATTATAAACACATCTACTGTCACAAAACAATTTGGTCAGGAAATTTTATTTGAACATTCTAAAGCAATAATGCTTTAGATGTTACTTAAATGTCCCAGACAGGATTAACAAAATTAAATGTTTCTAAATTACAAATTTAGCTCCAGTAGGAGTTTCATAAAAGAAGAAAACAACCCCCTCCCAAAAGAAAGTATGACACACACATTTTGAAGAAACCCCCATGTTTCATGCAATGGTAGGCAAGATGTAAAAAGCCACCCAAACCCATACATTTCTACATCAATCATCATCCCAAAAAAGTCCTCCAGTCAATCTGTACATCCAAATGCATCCAGGAACCTACACCTACACGACATTATTAATGTTATATACATTTATTGACCCCCCTTGTTTTTTTTTTTAATAATTTCTTATGTAAAGCCTTCATTGAAACCCCCCAAAAAGGATATAAGACTAAATTGGGGGGAGGAGGGAAAGATAATCACTTTAGACGTTAAAATGTAATTTATCTAAATCTCCAAATGTTTAATAAAAACAAGTTTCTTTTCCATTTAACACTTTGCTTACTAACTGTACAGTAAATTGCATTATAGAGAGTACACCTCTATTTTCATACTGTATCTTCTTTGGATGGAATTGAGATAACTGGTTAATTTTAAGATAAATAAATGAAGTTGATCCAACTAAGATTAAGATGACAGCAGATATATTCCATTCAGAATTCAATAGCTTTTAATTTTGTTAAAAAAAAAAAAAAAAAAAGATGCAGTTGAATGGAGGGACGACCAAAAACAGGTCAAAAAGAACCCAGGTTCATTATATAAAAATGTCCCACAATAGATCAACAATGGCAGTAAAAATAAGAGAAAAAGTCATCTTTCTGGAACATCATTTTTCAATAACATAGAAACATCAAGTGCCAGGAAGATTTCTACTCATGGAATTTTAGCATCCAAGTTTCCCTCTACTTATTTTATTGGAACAAATGCTTTAAATAAACTATTTGTCCTCTTCACTGAAGAGAGCTGGTCTATTTCATCTTTAATGAGCTAGTTTGGGGAAGATTAGCCATGAACTGCAATGCCTACTGATAAAATCCAAGCATTTGCTGTGAACAGTTGGAGAAAGCAGTCAGTAAGAACCTAGGATCAATGAAAATAGATGTTACTTTAAGCCATCCATGAAAGAGACCCACAAAGTACCCAGTGTTAAGCCCAAATTTCTTCTTGCGCTTATTCTTCTTTTCTGTGCAAGTTCCACCCTCATGAAAGAGAAACTGATCCGAAGTTCCAGGTTGTCTCAGTTGTCTAGTCAATTTTCACATTAGTATAGATTTTTCGAACAAAGGCACTTGTTCCCATGTAACCAATTGCTCCTGAAACAATAAAATAACATATTTTGAAACAAATACAATGGGACCAGGGCCTGACATTTACATGCTGTTTTCTGTTTTAGCGAGTTCTACTCCTTTTTCTGGGTAATGTCTTTAATTTAGCATTTCAGGGTAACATCTCTGAATTTATTAAATGGTAACATTTGCTCTAAAAAGCATCAGTTGGAGCCACACCCAGCCTATTATTTAGACTCAAATCACAATTATTACCAGCATGGTCAGTAAGATGAAGTTAAAATATAGCTCACAAAAGCAAGAGTGGCTGGATAATGACAAGTCCAGCCCATTAAAGCAATACTGCCTTTTAAACTGCTGTTTTGAACAGTAAACCTCAAACAGGGCTCAAAATTTCAGAAAGGAAGGGATGTTGTTAATGAGTTGCACCTTCTGTGTCCAAGAGCACCTAGCGAATCAAAGTACTCAATGGTTATTTGTTGAAGAGGGGATGAATGACGGGCAAATGAATGAACAGACCAAGTAGTCTTTATAAGCAAAGAACTGGGGGTTTTGTTTTGTTTATTAAACTTGAAACATTTTAGGAGAGGTAGTCAATGACCATTCTTCACTTTATTCCTTAAAATTTTTAAATTGCATTTCTAAGAATTAATTAATAGCACACACACACACATATATACAATCAAACTAGTCACTTTTCTTACAGTACTAGGGACTGAATCCAAGGGTTTTTATACCCCCAACCATGAGCAATTTCTATTGCCCAAACTGGTAAGTCTCAAGTCCTTGAGGAAAACAAGATTCTCTTTGTAAAGGAATCTCTGTTAATAAACAGAAAAACAATATGACTTAGAATAATATAATCACCAATGAATTATTTTAGGCAATAACTATCAATGGCTTCTAACTTCACACACACACACACACACACACACACCTCATGCCTCCCAAGAAAAACTACAAGTACTACTGACACATTCTTGAATAAGGATTCAGTACAACAGGTTATTATAGCTTGAACTGCTTTTTTATAGAAAGTGTAGAGTAGAGAGGAATGTGTATCAGGGATACACTCTGCCAAATCCACTGAAGAAAACTGAGTAAGTATGCCGCACTCATTACCAGTAACTTTCTAGACACTGGTATCTTCAGCAACAATCAGAGAACTTTTAAAGAGAAATCATTCAGACAGCACCTTTCACCTGCTGATATTACAATCCTTTCCAATTATCACATGCTTTAAAGTGCCAATTCTCAACTGCATGTGGTGCCATACACACTTGTAATCTTAGCTACTCAGGAGGCGGAAGAGGAGGATCACTTGAGACCAGTAGTTTAGGACTAGCCTGAGCAACACAGAAAAACACAGTATCAAAGCAAGATAATTCCAACATGAATGAGAAACTAACCACAATAATTCTTTGCTATGTAGCATCATTAGAATGGCTACAAAAATAGAAATTTATCAGGTGACAGATCAGATTTTAAGGGAGAGTTTTAAAGGAAAAGAAAAGAAAAACTCCAAAAAAAACTGAAGGCAAACTTCTGAATTCATTCTGATGTTCCTGATAAAGCAAAGGAACAGAATTCCTTAGTTTCTATTTAATTATTTATTATTGGAGTGAGTCATGTTGGCCACAGCACATGAATGAAGAGGTCAGAGAACAACTTTTTGGAGTCAGTTCTCTGGTTCTATCTTTATAGGAGTTCCAGGGATCAAACTCAGGTTTGTCAGGCTTGAGAATAAATATTTTTACCTGCTGGATCACCTTGTCAGCCCAGAATTTCTTATCTCCTAATTATAATGTTTTCCTAATGCTGAGATGATCAGAATTTTCTCATGATGTTCCAAAAATTTAAAAACTTACCACACATTATCCCCAAGGCTGTGCTAAATACCGCCATATATCCAAAGTAAAATGATGTTTGAAATAAGCCATACATCCTGCAATACAATAGAATAATATTCAACACATACATTTTACTTTCAATCTGAGGCTTTACACTTTTTTAAAGGACAAGTGGTTTCCCAGGTAAGACATGAGAGAAAACTCCACTTACTTTGTTTTGAAAAAATAGTAGTAAAAGGAATACATGTAAACATAGATTGCAGTTGATGCAGCAGAGAGAAAACTTGTCCATTGCCTGGAATAAAACCCAAAATTAAAAGATTATAACTTTTGGAATGAATGACACTCTAAATTTTAAGACAAAGAAATTACAAAAATATCCTTTAAAATTCTGCACACTTAAAAACAAATACTTATACCTGATGCTAAATATTAACAGAGAAGGGCCTAGGAACTAGGAACTCTGAGTCTGGTCAGATTCTCTGAGTAAATTTAAATAAACCAATTCCCCCTTTCAAAGTGAAGTTTAAAACAGAAAGATGCTTCCTCACAAGGTCAACACAGAATTCTTTCTAGAATTACTTCCAACAGGACAAAAAAAGTTTTGACTGACACGATACCATTTTCCTATAAAATTTTCATTATATTTACAACTAGAAAAAAAAAATCCCTCTACTATCTTTTTTTATTCATTCATTTTAATTTTTGAACCAGAGTATCACTCTGTAATCAAAAGCCTACCCAGGGCCAGAACTGCAAGAACGCACTACCATTCCCTGCTCCTCTATTATCCTAAGCAGTAAAGTTCTGTACAAACCCTTTCCTCAGCTTGACAGGTTTCAGAGGCAAACTTATTTTAAAACAGTAGGATCCTAGCTGGGCATGGAGTTACACACCTTTAATCCCAGCACCTGGGAGGAAAAGGTAGGTGGACAACTTTGAGTTCGAGGACAACCTGGTCTTTAATAAGTTCCAAGACAGCCAGAGCCACATAATAAAAAGAACAACAAAAAAGGGGAGGGGCGGTATTTAGGATCTTTAGGTTCCACCCACAGGCACTTACCACCTATAATCCTCTGCATTTAGCAGGAAGTACGTGCACACGATGGTCACACAGACGGTCACAATACACAGGATGACCAGCACCAGCATCATGAAGCCATACACATAGTAGATCTTATATGCCCAGAAAGATGTGAAGATGAAATACCTGAGGAGAAGCAGTGGACATCCTTGAGGTTTACTCTGCTCTTGACAGGTCTTCTGTCTTAGCTCTCATTTTATTTTACTTAAAACTTGTGATCACCCCTTCTAGTAATTTCCAATAGTTTCTCTTAACTCTCATTTATTAAATTCTAAAAATATTTTTGTGATTTTTTTTTTAAAGAGCAAGCCTCTGAGTTTGAGGCCAGCCTGGTCTACAGCCAGGACAGCCAGGGCTACAAAAAGAAACCTTGTCTTCATAAAACAAAAACAAAGAGCATTTTATCTCTGAGCAAAATGACTAAATTAGAAGCTTAAAGAAGTTAAAATGTAGAAAAGAACAAATGAGAACAGCCCCAATCTACATTTGTATAATAAAATCAATTCCTTCATTCTTCCAATTTTTTTCAAGATGTAAAACTACTCAAGGTAACATTTTGCAATTTATAAAATAGCAAAACAAGTGATAAACTAAAAATTTACACAATTAGAAAAAAAACCAGTCTAATAGATTGATACTGTCTTCAGAGGATGGAGAAAAAGAATAGTTAACATTTTTCATTAAGAAGGAAAAAAAAAAACCTCTTTAAATCCATTAATTAAATTGTTCTTAATTCAGAACAGGGTCCTTCAGTTCTTTTTAAAAAAATTATCTCCTGTTTTGTAATTCATTTATTCAATCACATATCCTTTCAACAAATATTTACAGATCTCTTGCTACAGATTAGGGGGTGACATGGGAAGGTTTGGAGGGAAGTGGGAAATGATGGAATTATATTACAATCTCAAAAAATAAAAACCTCGTTTATTTATTTGTTTGTAAGAAAGCAAGCAGTAAAGATAAGCACTGTAAGGAAAACATCACTGCTCTCTAGATTATTCCCTGGTGAGAAACCCCGGTAACAAGACAACCTGGCCCTCTGCTGCGCACTATACCTAGTTAGGCAAATGATAAAAGCGGCTCCTCTGGTTTGACTGGGTGAGAAACTGGGAAAGCAGTGAAGACTGGACAAGGCTCATGGGATGGGGTGGGGAGCCAGCAAATTCAGGGACAGAAAACAACAGAAGCAGAGGACTGGTTCTAAGTAAATGAGTTCATTAAGTCAAATAAGCAAACAGAAGCTCTGGGTACTACAGAGATTACTCATTTAAAGCGGCTGCTCTTACAAAGGATCTGAATTTGATTTCAACAACTACTCGGTGGCTGATACCCTCTGTAACTCCAGCTGCGGGGGATCTGACACACTCTTCTGGCCTCCATAGGCACCAGGCTTGTTGATGGTGCACACATAATGAATGTAGGCAAACATCCATGCAAATAAATCTAAAAAGACAAACAACACACACATACACACTCACACACACAGGGGCACAGAATTTAGAGAACAAACAGGATTGGTTCCTATGAACACCCAGCTGGCCACGTCATGGAGGTAGCATATAACCTAAGTGAAAGTGAAAGTCCTTGGCAAAGAATGACAGGAAGAAACTGAAAGGTTAAAACATATAAACAAAAAATAAAATGAATAAAAAAATCTGTAGAATAACAAGTTAAAAATGCCATTCCAGAAGGACAGGGTCTGAGAAAACCAAAATAAACATAACTTGAAAAAGCAGAGGTGTCTAATGGCAGAGAGGGAAGCAGGAAAAAATATGACCTCAAGTACTAGGAGAACCAGGGTGAGAGGAAACAGTGAAGAGGTCACGTCAGAGTGAGGATTAGCAGCTGCAATACAGAGCTCCTGAACTGGATCTATTAAGCAAGTCTGAGTGACACACTGCAATCTCCTCCCAGGTACGCACCAATGCCTGTAGTACACTCACAGCTGAGAGGCGACAAAATCACCTATCTACTTATACTTACGAGCTATGCTAGTTATACTTTTTGTCAACTTGACCCAAACTAGGATAATCTGGAGAGATGAACTGAGAAAATGCCTCCACTAGACTGGCTTGTAAGCAAGCTTTGGGGCATTGTCTTACATGACGGTTGGTGTGAGAAGGCCCAGAGCACTGCAGGCAGTGCCACCCCTGGGCAGTGGTGTTTGTTGGGTTGTATAACAGCAGGCTGAGCAGATCAGTAAGCAGAATTCTATGGACTCTGTTCCAGACCTGCTTCCAGGCTCCTGCCTTGACTTGCTTTCATGATGTACTGTGATTTAGAATCTCTAACTCTGAGTTAAATAAAATTGTTTATTTAAAAGAGTTAACAATCTCAGTATTTCATTATAGCAGTGCAAACTGACTTCAGAGAGACCACCTTGTCTGATGATTCCATAACAATCTAATATGCTCTATTTCTTAAATACTTCAAAACATGAAAACATTGCCAAAACTTACATTTCAATAAAGATTGAGCCAAAAGGTAAAATTCCTCCTAGGCAAACAATAACTGCAGGCTCCATGAACCTGGAAAATATTAAAATTGACAGTATACTTGTAGCATGATTTTCATAATAAATATATATCTCAACAATCGGTGATGTTTAACACTTTAAAAACCATGTCATGGATAAAAATGGATAAAAATGTGAGTGAGACTTCAAATTAGTCATCAGTTATATCTAGTATTAAAACCTGAGTGAAGTATTTGGGAACACAAATTGTTTCTACTGGCAGAACAAGAAACACATTAAGTATTTATTCCCAGCCTCCCAGATTTTGGTAACTTTTGAGAACTCTATAAGCATTTATTTACAGAAATTCAAAGGAGACAGGGAACAAAGAAAAGAAACAAAGTCCTGAGACCCCTATCTGAACCAAGTTCTCATAAATCGGCTCTGCCAGTTCTTTATCCACCTTCTTCTTAGCTTTAATTCCTTTCTAACACATTAAATAATCAAGGTTTTGTCAATTCTGATTTACAATGAGGGCAAAGAAAGCCTAAGAAATAAATTCAAACTTCATCCCTTCTCCTAGTCAACATTCCAAGTGAAATCATTGGGCTCTCTACCTAGAATGCTTTAATTCCATGTTCTCCTTCCAGACAGCATGGGCGGTTCTCAAAGCCTTCCCTCTGTATGTCAGGAAGACACTACTCTTTCCTCATCCTCCCACTGACTCCTGAACATCCCTCTACCACAGAACACACTACACTGTACTGTAACTCTCTACTGATTTGCGTCAGACGCCACTAATTAGACTGTTGGCCAGCAGTGACTTTTCATCTATGTATTCCCAACCCCTAGACAAGCAAAGATACCAAACTGTTATCTCTGGGGTGAGCAAACAAACAAACAAAACTTAAGAGTCATTTACTATAATCGTCCTTGTTTTTATAGAAAGCCAAGGTCCTGAGGTTGAAACTGACCTATCCCAAGTAACCATCCACTAAAAATAGATCTACTACTTAAAAATGATTAAAAAACAACAAGAAAATGAAGGCAGGTTCAGCCTTCCGACACCTAAAAGTGACCTACCTCTGGAAGGTGAGGGCATATGTTGTCTGCATCTCTCCCTCACTAGCCCTGCTTCCCAGAGATCGCTAGTGGTTTCTGACCAAGCTTTTGCTCTTACCTTTCTCTCTCTGGCAACACGCTGAACATGAGGATACTAATGAGCCCTGGTAATCTAATATTGATTTAGGGGGAAAGTAGTTTAAAAAGCGTATTCAGAACTCTTCAATCCAAAGCTCCTCACAGGCACCAATCTCACAACAAATTCCTAAAATTGGAATAGTTCACTATTATCAAAGCTCTTAAGACTGAGTCATATAACTGAATGTGTAGATTGCGAAAATTTCAGCCAGAGTAAAAGTTTTGTGAACACTCAATGACCAAAAATTAATCAACATCAAACACATTTGAACCCAAGGTGTTTCCGGCAGTGCTCAACCACGTTCCACTGTGGGACTTTCTCAAAGCTTTGGTCCTGAACATGTGTATGCCTTGATGTCATGTAACACTAACCAATGCTATCTTAAACACAGCCCAGATTCTACTGTGCTACAAACTGAAATGTTTATCATTCCTACACAGTTTTGTGCTTATAGAAACATAGTGGCTTAATTATGGAAAACAAAGACTTTTAATATCTTTCCTATTATTTTTTTTAGCAAAGAAGTATCAAATTAGTATATCTTTGGACTGTATGGTGTTCAAATATTTAATTACAACCGGCCTCAATCTTATGTCACCTCTCAATTGGTTGACTTATATGGAAAAAAATGGGCCAGTATTTAGAATAAAATATATGGAAGGAAAAGGAAATTAGTTTGCAGATTTTTCAGTAATTCAAAGTTTCAGATTTTGCTGGTGATATGGCCTCTGTTGTAGCTATTACTCTATCAACTCTGGTGCTGGAGAGTAAAAGAACCCATAACTAGTATGTGAAGGCTGGATATGGCTGTTTTTATTTACAAAAAACAGGCAGCAACCACATTTGATTTGCATGCTTAAAAACTGTTGAAGCTTTACTTCCCACACACCTCTACACATTAGTGTATTTATCAAACTTTTGACATGTGAATGACACCAATATTCAGAAAGCAAAAATAAGGGCACAGCTTATTATACTCTTTACAATGAAGATTGATGGGAAAATTTAAATGAACAAATTCTCAAACCTATACAGTCATTTGCATAAAACACAAGCTGCTTCTAAAGTTACATGTACACAACAACCTTAAGAACTTATACACTGTGACAACAATCAAATAAGCTTTAGCATTCTCTTTACCATTTTTTCTCCGGGATAGGACGAGGCACAGCATTGACACGACAAGGGAAGTTGGGCTGACCTGACAGATTTCGGCCAAGTATTGTACCAACAAGATTTAGAGGAAGAATAACAAAAAAACAGATGCAACAAACGGCCACCTGCAAATTAAGTAAAAATGTGTGTGGTTACTCAGAGAACAAAAACACTAATAAAAACAAGTAAGAGAGACACCTGAAATTTCAAATGCACTTTGAGCACAGAGGAAACGTTAAGTTCTAGTAAGGGTTATAATGATACAAGGAATGCAATACTGGAAACAGGAGAAAATGTTCACGCTGAATCAAACACAAGTTGAACTCTTTCCTACTTTTAGCTCCCACTGTCCCTATTCTTCCATGCTGTCCTCAATAGAGTACCTTTCAGATCTCTTTCCCTGTCAACTGTCATGTTTTTTTAACATGCCTACCCCTTATCTTTCATTATTATAACCAATGGATGGAACAACAGTGATGGCATCACAAGAACCTCTTAAAAAGATCAGGTTCAGGAACTTATTCGTCTTGGTTGTTATGGTACAAATTCATACTATCAAAGACGTGAAATGTGAGTTAAAAATAAGTGCTGCCTCTCAGTACTTAATACACAAAGATCTACTAGCTGGTCAACTATAACCAGAAACCAAGAATACACTTAAATTTACTTAGAAATTGACTTTTGGAAAATCTGTTTTGTGTATGGGTTGTAAGGAGCAAATGGAACCCAAGACAGACTATTTTGGGAATGCCAAAAGAGAAATTGTTAAAGGTAATATATAGTAAGTAGACTTTAATTGCTTACAGCTATCTTGACTCTTAGGAAATCTCTCTCTCACGTGCACACACACACATTCTCTGTGTCTGTGATTGTGTGTTTCTGTGTGTCTGATAGAAAAGGGAGGCATGCATTTCATAGCCCAGACTGGCCTTGACCTTACATCTTCCTGCCTCTGCCTCCAGCTGCTAGGATTTCAGTGGTTTTTACCTAAGAAATGTATCACTGCCAACCATTATGTACAAGTATTCCTTTGGCTCATGCTCTGAGCAGATGATTTCTATAACCACATTTCTAACTCAACAAGACTTTGTATTAAAAAAAATCAGAAGTCTTAAGTCAAGCATTCCAATCAATGGACCCCCATAGTCAGGGTACTGACAACTCAAAGATCAGAGAGTTTCAACATACTAGTTCATAATTCTCCATCCTATTTCTTGAGTTATTTCAATTCTATAAAGATACCAGATTTGAAATGGAAAAATGTGTTGCAGAAAGCTAACCTTATCAGAAAAAGTCATTATAAGAAAACTACAGACACTAAACCAAATCTAGGAGATGAAGCTTCATCAGAGAAACAGAGGCCTAACTAAGACTAGAGGACTCGTGCTGGTCATCACCGTCTCCAAAGACAATAGAAAAACTATGTTGCAAAACCCAACATTCATTTCCAACAGAAACTCCTGACAAACCAGCAACAGCAGGGCTCTAGCACCTGATGAAGGGTATCTAAGGCAAATGGAGGCTCACATTTTAAAGGCACACAGCTGAACGCCTTCCCAACCTGACAACAGTCTGTGCTTGCCATGTCTACCCAACATTGTACCAGGTTTGGTCAGAATAAGTGACAGAGAGAACTAAAAAAAGAGGGAAAGATGGAAAAGAAATAAATTCTTTATAGGCAACATATATATAGGGCAAAAAATATACAGGGCAAAATTACAAGAAAGCAACTAAGACTTAAAAGCTAATTTAGCCACATGTGGTGGTAGACATCTCTAACCCTTGCACCTGGGAGGTGGAGTTAGGAGACTGGGAGTCAACGCCAGCAGTGACAACATATGAAGAGGAAAACCTGTTTCTAAATTAACAGTTAATTAAATTCAATTTAAAAAGGGCTCAATAGGTAAGGTTCCTGCTAACAAGAGTTCTACACCCAGGAACCACAGGGCAGAATGCAAGAACCCATTCCTATGGAAAAAAGACAGCATCTTCAACAAATGGTGCTGGTCTAACTGGATATCTACATGTAGAAAAATGCAAATAGATCCATATTTATCACTCTGCACAAAACTAAAGTCTAAGTGGATCAAAGACATCATAAAACCAGACACACTAAATCTATTAGAAGAAAATGTGGGGCAGAGACTTGAACTCATTTACACAGAAGATAACTTCCTGATCAGAACACCAACAGCACAGGCTCTAAGATCAACAATCAATAAAATGGGACTTCATGAAACTGAAAAACTTCTGAAAAGCAAAAACACTGTCATTGGAACCAATTCCCGAAAGCTGTGTTCTGACCACACTGTCTTGCTTACCATAACTTTTATCCATTTTGGAATGACTCTTTTTCCAAAATTGATCTGGCTTCTTAATAATCTTACCGATCTTACCTATTTCTAAAAAGGCCTGCTGGGACTTTTTAAATGGGACTGCATAGAACCTATCTGTACCTTTATTTGGGGAAAAATTGACATCTTAACAATATTAAGCCTTTGGATTAAAAACACAGTGTATTAACTTATCTAGATATAATTTTTCTCAGCACCATTTATAGATATCAGTGTTCAGGTTTTGTACATCTTTTGTTAAACGTATCTCTATGTATTTCAGTTTTAATGCAGCTCTGTACACAGTATTTTATAAGGCAATCCAGTTAAAGAGCCGAGAGAAATACCCATGTCCACCTTGTGTCCATCTGTGCCTCAGCAGGCGATCCAGATATACTGCAGGAAAGGAGAACCCTTCCAACAGACGCTGCTATGTGCAAAGAGAAATCTCTCAAATTTATCTCAGGGTTTCAGACATGAAACTACAGAACTTTTAAAAGACAACATACAAAGAAAGTTTGCTGCTGTTTAGTTTGGCAAAGGCTTAAATAGGACATTTATAAGGTCAAACTAGAAAAGGAAAAAAAAAAATCTGCCAATATACTGCTCTTCAAAATTAGGAATTGTGCCCTTAAATAGAAATAGGAGACTGCACAATACTTTTAAGATGAAGGACTTCTATGTCCATTGTATGAAACACCCCTCTCATCCACTAAGTTAAAAAGATAAGGCAGGTGGTTCAGTGGGTAAAACCTGACGACCTGTGTTTGACCTCTGGAGCCTACATGGTGAAGGGGAAGAGATGCTGAGCTTCACCTGCACTCTGGCACAAGCATGCTCCCTCACCATATGCCTGTGAGGGCACCCACACAACTGTAAAAACTAAAGTGAGGCTGGATGTGGTGTTGCACGACTTTAATCCCAGCACTTGGGAAGCAGAGGCAGGTGGATTTCTGTGAGTTTAAGGCCGGCATGGTCTACATTTTGAGTTCCAGAATAGCCAGGACAGTACTGTCCAGGCTGCTACACAAAGAAACCCTGTCTCGAAAAACAAAAACCAACCAAACAAAAAGAATCCAAAGGCAAACTATCTGTTTTCAATCTCTTTTCTAGCTAGTCCTGGTAACAACAACATCTGGACTGAAATTCAGATTCTCAGAAAACAAAATTCTTACTTACCTATTACTTCTAGAGGATAAGAAAGATGCTTGAAGTCATTAAGCTTAGTTTGAACTGTCAACTGTGGGAACTTGGGTAAGATGGAAAATTACTACAATGACACTCTAGAGAAAGGATTCGTGTTCATGAACTAGCAGAAAGAGCTAACAGCCTTGAGAGGAGCAGACAGGAAGACCTCTAAACTGATTTTCCAACTAAGGTATTCGGTTAGTAGGGTACCTTGCTTCTCAGACACACAGTGCCTATGGTCTAGATCAGTGGCTCTCAACCTTCCTAACGCTAGAACCCTTATGACATGCTAACCTCCAGCCATAAAAGTATTTCATTGCTACTTTATAACTGTAAATTTACTATTGTTATGAACTGTAATGTAAATATCTGATATGCAGGATATCTGATATGTGATTCCTATGAAAGAGTGTTTGACTCCCCCACAAAAGAGGTCATGGCCTACTGGTCTAGATGGTCTTCAGGGAAGTCATTTCCTCAGGGTCTACTAACACAATTTGTGGTCCAGAAGAGACCAAGGCTGCATATCAGGCTAGCAGCAGAGCTTACTAAATAATGTCTAAGAGTCTCCAACATGGCACTGGGTTTAAAGGCATAAAGGAGTCACAGAGAGCCCTGAGGGCTGGCACTCTGTGCCAGGGTCATGGTCTCCCTGTAGAGAGCCAAGAAGGTCATTGGTGAAGGTGCAGCCTCGCTGCTGTGAAAACACCAGAACTGAAGAGGTTATAGAGAAAAATTGAGGCCTAACACTATGTGGCAGGGCTCAAGTCCCTGAAGAGGTCAGCAGAGACCACTAGTAAAGATGCTGTGAAAACACCAGAACTGAAGAGGTTATAGAGAAAAATTGAGGCCTAACACTATGTGGCAGGGCTCAAGTCCCTGAAGAGGTCAGCAGAGACCACTAGTAAAGATATAGCTTCAGTACTCGGCATCCTGGAGACATCCACCAAAGAAAGCAATCAGCAAGTGTGGCATGGACCCTGTCTGAGCCCACAGAGAAGCTGTGTGTGTGCTGAGATGGAAAAAGCTTTCCAGCTCCCAGCTGCCTAAGCCCTTTAGAGCCTAGAAGATCAGGCTCAGACTCTGGACGCTAAGCTATAATAGCTGATTTATACAGTTAGATTGGGGTTTTTTGCTTTTAATCTGGTTGTTCCTGTGCCCTGGTTTTCCGTTTATGAAAAGTGTGTAACATGGTTTTGATTTTTATGGGAGTCTACAGTTAAGAGATTAGGTTTTAAAAGAGAATTGGACTTTTAAAGTGCTAAAAATTTAAAGGTATGCTGCATTTTATAACAGTAATTAGATCTTGGGGAACATGAAGGGAAAGGTTATGATTTAAAGTGATATGTTTGTGTGTCAATGGTTAAGGTAGAGTGTCATCATTAGTTTCAGTTGTCCACTTAATCCACCTGGGAATAAAGCATCTCAGCTGAAGAGCTCTAACTATCAGACTGGCCTGTAGGCCTACTTACGGAGCATCTTCTTGATTGTTAATTGATACAGCAGTGCCCAGCCCACTGTGTGCACTTGGTCCTGGGCTATATAAGGCAGCTGAACATGAGCCCAGAAGGAAGCCAGTAAGTAGCATTCCTCCATGGTTACTACCTCAAACTCCTGCCTTGAGATCCTGTTCTGGCTTTCCTCAAATAAGTCAAATAAACTCTTTTCCCAAGTTAGTCTTAGTCAATACTTTACCACAGAAACAAAAAAGTAAATTAGAACACTGATCACCATGATAAAACACTCACGCTTCCTGGTATTTTTTTTTTCTCTACAATACATTCATTTATCAGTTCTCTCCCATCTCTGATAAAAGCTATAAAATCACCTTTTTTTTTTGAGACAGGGTTTCTCTGTGTAGCCTGAGCTGTCCTAGAACTTACTCTGTAGAACAAACTGGCCTCAAACGAAGAGATTCCACCGCCTCTGCCTCCCAAGTGCTGGGATTAAAGGCGTGTGTCCTCCACCTCCACTACCACCACCACCACCACCACCACCACCACCACCACCACCACCACCCAGTGTAAGATCAATTTTTTACTTCACAGAATCAAGAAAATATAGAGAACTTTAGATTAAATGTAACAAATAGTTTTTGGAGCCTAATAAAAACATTACAAGACTCAACTGGGACTGGCTGAAACATCAGAATAGCCAACAGGAGTGAGCACTAGAGGGGCAGTAGGCCTTCTATTTTAATGGTTATTATAAGCATTGTCTCAAATTAAAATTCAACCATTGTTGAAAATTAAAACTCACCATTGTTCCAAAGGGAATGGCTCTAGAGGCATGGTAATAAATGGCTATAAAGTTGATGAAGAAGGCAGTGCCACACACCATAGCTGGGATAAGGAATGCCCCAATAAACATCTGCTTTATCCATCTCCTTCCTAAAAGAAAAGGGAAGCTATGAAAAAATTCAAGCTACACAAACATGCATTAGTGTTTAAAATATACCATATAGTTCCAAATTATTTACTTAAAAATTCAATACAAAGACTATTAAACCTTATATACAAATAATCATTCATAATTTCAGGAAATAAAACACAAAGGTTCCATAAAAACAATATAGAAAACAATAGATTTGAGAGAGGTACAATATAATACAATATACATACAATATACGTTTTACATACAATATAAAGGAAGGCCTTTACGGGCCTATACTGGCAATTTAAAATTTCAAATACTTCACAGTAGAAGAATACTAGCAATAATTAAATATTCAAGAGTGCTAACTCCTAAATTACCTCCTTGTCTAGCATACAGACTTCCTCCAAAATACCCATTCACTGGAGATGTAGCAGCATAGACAAATATGGCTGTACTGAGCATTGATCCCCTCCTGCAAAGGCATAAAAATATGTATTATAAATTAAAACTAACAACCACAAAAATAAGAGTCTGTCTCCTTATTATTATTTTAATACCAAAGATCTAATTAACAGAAAGAGAAAAACATCACATCTTAGATTACAAAAATCTGTAGGAGAATTCCCAATCCAAGCTGAATTTGAACAATACCAAGTTGGGTCTACTTCTGTCTAGTCTACAGTTGAATTGGTGATACACTAATTCTTATTTGGGGGCACCAATGGAAAGCTGGCACTAAAACTCTATTTGTAACTCTATAAAACAGTTCCATCATATGGTACAGGATATTCTCTGTTTAAAAAAATATATCAGAACATCAGAACATCCCTTTTTTATAACTGGTTCAACACTAATTTTAGCCTGCTTACCAGAAATAAAATTCAAGTAGGATAATTTATATTAAATGCTACTATTTTAAATGACACAACATGCCAAAATTTACTTATTTATCTAGTTTTTTTTTTCCCTGTAAAAAGTTATTTTTAAAAAGTATCTTCTGGTCTACAAGGCAACCTTACGTCAGACCATTTCTAACCTTTTCCCAATAATGATACTTAGAGAATTAAACCAACCTTCATGCTGAGTAAACTACAAAAAACAAAAAACTATGTAAAAATGACCAGCTGAAAAGAAGAGTATTAAAATAAATGGCACTATAATTTGCTGTAGAATAGAAATATTTACTATCTACTTATACCCTCTTATTTATTTATGTCTTCAGCCCGCTAGTTTTGCGATATGTAGCATCTGTTCAAACACCTGTGCTCATTTTCTTAAAGTGGCTGCAAAAGGCTGTAAGTAAAGGAATAAATGTATCTCAACAGTGAAAATATTGCAGTATTTAATTTCTATCCATGTTCAACTATATCTAAATGTGAAGACTTGGTATTCTCAAATTTAAAAGACCACAAATCTCAAAATTAAAAATAAGTTAAAAAAAATCAAATGTTTTTCCAAGAACTCAAACATTGTTAAGTGCCAATTTATTTCTTCCACACAAAGACTAACAAATAAAACCTATTCTCTTTATAAATGTGTTTGTTAAAGGCAGTCTAGATCTAACTACAGAGAAAATAGAAAAGGCTGGTTTTAGTATACTATAAGCCTAATACCAGAAGTTCTTACTATCAACAGGAAGGGCTCAAAAAGGCTGGCCCGGAGTCCAAATGGCTTCTGGGTTAAGTTTGCAGTCTCCTCCACACAGGACAGTTTTAACATTCAGATCTATCTTTCGTTTCTTTGTTCAAAAATATTCTGTAAGCATTTATCCCCACCCTCCAAGTACGCCATTGCATTTACACTGTGAGAAGTCCATTGTGACAGCCATCCTCATGGCTAACGAGCTGTCCCACCATCCCCACTGAGAGCACGGGGTGGGATTAGCAGGCTCTCTCAAGAGCCAGCACCACACAGTAACAGTGACACTGTTCTTCCACCTACAGCTCCCAAATGTCTTTCCTCTAATTGTCACAGTCATCACAGAGGCAAAGTGATTTCACCTATTAACGTTAGCAGCTCTTTATCTTTAATAATCACTGTTGCTGGAGTGATGCCTCCAATTTCACATGCAAATGTCTTACTTTCTCTCCATTTCACATTGCTACATTACTATTTTCGTTTCTGTAACATTGCAAATTAAAAACTCTGAAATACAAATCACTTGTATTCAAAACTCTTTAGTAACTGTGTGTATTTTAGTCAAATTACTTCACCTCTCTGAGCTTTACCTTCCTTGTCTAAAGGATAGAAATAAAACAGTCCTCATACAGGACTGATGTGCACACTCAACATGGAAATGTGCAAAAAGTAAAAACAGGGGACCCTGATGTCAGCCACTTCTCCATCATAACAATACTTTCAGCTTTATTACTTTTAAATAACTGCACACACACCACATAAACACAACACCTTATCGCAGTAACTGTCAGAAGACTGCATGATCTGCCCTCACACTACATAGTAAAGAATAGCTTCTTACAGCTGAAAATTGAAGGGCTTTAAATTAGGAAAGAGTATACATTAACAAGCAAAAAATTTGGACTAGCAAAGCAAAAACTGGGTTGATAGAACAGTCAGCCTCTGAAAGACTCTACTGATCGGGGTTTCGAAGCTGAGGCTGAGAAACATAGCCAAACTTTGGGCAGAGAGTGTAGGTAATCTTATGAAAAAAGGGGGAGATAAAAAGACCTGGAGGGAACAGGAGCTCTAAAAGGAGACCAACAGAGCCAATAAAACTGAACCCTTGGGGCCCTGCAGAGATGGATACCCCAACCAAGGACAATGCATGGAGAGGACCTAAAACCCCAGCTTAGATGTAGCCCATAAACTCAGTCTCCAAGTGGGTCCCTAATAAGGGGAACAGGGGCTTTCTCTGGCATGAACTTAATGACAGGCCCTCTATCACTTCCCCCTGTGGGTGGGGGGTCAGGGCAGCCTTGCCAGACTACAGAGGAAGACAGTGCAAACCAGTCCTGATGAGACCTGATAGGCTAGGGCCAAACAGAAGGGGAGGAGGACCTCATCTACAGTGGACTAGGGAGGGGCATAAGGGGAAAAGAGGGAAGGAGGGAGGATAGATTGGGAGGAGACAAGGAAAAGGGACACAGCTAAGATACAAATTAAATAAATTGTAATAAATGATAATAAAAAATAAATAAGTAACACTGAATAATGGGATTGAATTAGAATCAGTCCTTAATGTAAAGCATGGCTGCTTGATTTGAAATAACTTTTCTCATGTTCAGGAATTAGTTCATATAAAAATATACCCTAAAATATGAATTACTCATAAAACACTGAAGTTTAAATATAGTTCAATTACTTCAAAAGTGGTAAATGAATGGCAATGCAAACATCAGATAACAGAAACATCACAGAAATTTCTGAGAAACAGCATTTTTTGGTTAATACATATTCCTGTCGGTTACATAAACATTAACTAGGTACTTTTATATGGGTAGTCTAAGAATTCAGAAAGTTACAACCTAGTCCTCTCAAGCAGAGGAGCAGCAATTCAGTAAAAAGCTAAATTTAAAGAAGTATTTATTACTACTGTGTATGTGTGCTCTGAACCCGAGTGTGAACATGCACACTGCAGCACACATATGGACGTCAGAGGGCAGCTTTCTCAAGTCAGCCTTCTCCTTCCATAGCGGAACCAAACTCAGCTCATTAGTGTGAGGGGAAAGTACATTTTTCTTTCTTTTCTTTTTTCAACCTGTTGAGCCATCTTGCCTGCCCACGATTGGAGAGCCATGCCATTCTTTCAGCAGTCCATTTATTACCTGTCCGTGAAATGCTATCCACATGTATGAATGTACAACGAACTGAAATGTAACTGGAGTGATTCTGATGGAGGACTTCACAGGCTGCTGTATGACGCCTGAATTATAGTGAATACACCAGATACCACAGTACATGTTCACACATGCTGTGACTTTCTGAGAACAAGGTGACAAATTCACATACTCAATAGACATGAGGTTTCTGTTACTGCTCAAGTCAAGACAAATCAAGAACTTCCGGCAAACTGGGCTGGCAAATGGTTCAGCAGGCAAAGGTGCTTGCTGCCAAGCCTGACAATCTAAGTTCAATACTGGGGACATGAGGAAGCAGAGAAACAACTACTGAAAATTGTTCTGACTTCCATTTTGCTGTGGTATACACATGCCCATAACACATACATTTGAGTACACTAACACACTCACAAATAAGTAAATAATGTAATTTAAGAAACTTTGGAAAATGGTTTTGGTTGCTAATAAAAGTATACAAAAAACTATGCAAAGATAGATACTGATCTAGGACTCTAGAAAAAAAAATCAAAGAATACTGTAAAGTGCTTTGTTTGACTCCTACAGAGGTTTCAGTGTAAGTATGAAGTATTAATTTGATAACTGAAATTATAAAAACCCAGTTGAATATTCAAAAAGGGCCCATTTCTTTTCAAACAGCTTTAGATCGAAAGTAGCCTCTGCCTCTCTAAATGACATAACCACTGTGTTCAGCAATACTGGCAAGTTTTAACATGTATAAGGAAACACAATTCAAAACATTCACTTAAACGTTAAGATTTATTTGCAACAACGGCTCAGACAATATTAACATTCTAAATTACTGAAATAAGCAAATATTTAATAACGATTGACTTAATAGATTAAAATGACTAAAAAAAAACTATTTACAACAACAAAAAGATGGTAAAGTACACCACTTACTCTGTATATAAATCCTCTATCATGGCAACAATAATAACAATGAGAGACACAGCAAATATCTGACATCCAGAACCAATGAGAGAAGAAAATACCAGAGGGTGACTTGATGGTCTAAACACATCTCCATGCACCTGCTTCCATCCATATTCATCTCCTAGGTCTCTATCCTGTATGTAAGACAGACATAAATACGCATAGAGAAAATTAACCCATTCAGAATCAAATCAAAATACAGCATACAGGAAAGAAGTTGCAGTTCTAAGCTCCCTCCTACCACACTTTTTAAGAGTTCAAAATACTGAGGACAGGCATTTCAAAGTTAAAGTAACTCCTGTCCTAGTAACTCTGAATGTTATGGGTTCCACGTTGAGATTCAAGAAAGTAAAAGCAGGGGGTGACGGGGAGAAAAGGCTGGGGAGCAAAAGAAACAACTTGGACAAGTGAAGGTCTCTCCTAATACTGCTTCACTCTCAGGCCCTACCCTGCCACTCAACATGGTGACTAAGGCTCACCGCCAACAATGGCCAAGCAGACAAGAAAGGGGAAGTGTATTACCAGTACTTGCACTAAAAACACAGAAATGCCCTTTTATAGCCCAAGATAAGCACTGGATATGGATATTTAATCATCTACATCATCATCTATAGCTTTAAAAAGTCCATATTTAAGTTCAACCTGAATAACCCAATAATCCTTAATTTCTGAAACAAAGTTTCTTAAGGAAAATAGTTAAGAAGGAAACTTTTTTAAAACCATCATCACACTGCATTTAGCATGTTAAAATTTGACATTTTAAACTGCTTCTCAAGCCTATTTAATGATAAAAAAGACCTAGGTATTAATATTCAATGCAACACAATTTTATTCTTAATTTAACAAAAATTATGAATAAATCTCTTTTGAATCAGTAAACTTAATGTATTTTAATCCTTCCAACCCATCGCTTAAAATTAACTCAACACTTAGCAACATTAAATGTACATACATACACACACATACACACACATATCAAAACTAGCCTTCATCTCCCTAAAAGTAATTCTGAAATCAAAAGCTCTGCAAACTAAAGTTTATTCTCTAAGTATGATGTGTCCTTATTTGGTGACAAAATCTGGCTGGAAATCACAAGTTTCTTCACCTTACTTAGGGAAACATTTAAGTTCTGTTAGAAAAAAAAAAGAATATATTTAAATAGAGAATGACCCCAGATCCCACAGATAACACTGTTAGAACAGTTTTTAAACTTTGCAGTGCTGAGGATTAACTAACACTAGGCAAGCACTTGAAAGTAAAGCTCATTTCAAACTCTTGGACTCAAGCAATCCTCCTGCCTCAGTCTCCTTAATATCTAACTATGGGTATTTGCTTTATATCTTCTTTTAAACCTAAGAATCCTGAAAACTCATCTGCCCTTACCAACTTTAGATTAGAAACTGCAATCTATATTCCAACACTGAAATACAACAACTGGCTGGAGAGATGGCTCAGCAGGTAAAAGTCTGGCCACCTGAGCTCAATTCCTAGAACCCATGTAAAGGTGGAAGGAGAGAACTGACTAGATCAAGTTCTCCACATATACATTCTGGTATGCATGTCCTACCCCCCCCCCATCATACACAGAGAGAATAATAATAACTATTTTTAATCTTTAATATATATATGTAGCAGGTCTGGAGAAATGGCTCAGTGTTTAAGAGCGTACACTGCTCTTTAAGAGAAACCAGGTTCCATTCTCAGTGTCTGCATCAGGTGGCCTGCAACTACCTGGAAAGGGAGGCTCTAACACATCTAGCCTCTCCAGACATGTACATATACACACACAGACACAGATGACACACAGAGAGACAGACACATAATTAAAGTAATAAATTTAATTTGATATGATAGTTTTTAATATCAATAATTAGTTTTTAATCATTTAATATGATAAATAGTTTTAAAATATAAAAGTGTTTGCTCACCATGTCATCCATTTCTTCTTCTTTACTGTATCGGGCATAATCTTTTCTTAAGGTTCTCATTAAAATCATTGAAACTAAACCCACTAAGAAGATCACCATCATGAAAGAATTGAAAATTGAAAACCAGTGGATCTAAATTAACAGAAAATAAAGTTACCAATGTGAAATATCAGTTATAAAACTCATGTTTCATCATATCGATTGTATGTTAAGAGGAGAAAACTAGCATTTTTACATGTTTTATGTAAGAATCCAAACTTTAGACACACTGGGGATAAGTATTCAGAATAAAGGGCTGACTTTCTTTATAACCAACTTCCATGAAAGCATGCTATCATCTACATAGATTTTTCAAGTCACATTTACTAAAGCAACTAACATTTAACCACAGGGCATACACAATTCAACTTTATATGGAAAGTACATGGGCAACAGACTCAAAAAGGCTTAGGTTTTAAGTTAAGTTCTGCAAATTTCTAGGTGGCTTCAGTTTTCTCATGCAGAAATGGACGCAGCATCTTGTGTTCTGTGATGTGCAGTGATGATGGATGCAAGGGCATGGCACTGCGTCTGGCAGGAACAGTAGATAACAACTGTGCTCGTCTCTTAACTGACCAAAACATAAAAACTTTCTTAGAACACTGAAACCCCCACCATCACTGCTGACTGCTGTGGATGCAGGCTTCCTTCCCGAAGCTCTGTCTCTCTTGTTTGCAGTGAGGCATGCCCTAACACCCTCATGTTGAGTTCTTTCCCACAGACTCAAGAAATCTTTACCAGCCTTCCAGTGATGATGTTGGTAACACCTTCAGCCCTTACTGCTCAAACCTCCAGCATTCCTACACCTTCACAGTTCAGACTTTCACTATCAAAACTTCCACTTAAATGCTTTCGTGGCATTTCAGGTGGAGACTATCCTTAGTGAATCTATCATCTTCCCTCACATAGACCATTCATTTCTTATCCTCCAGCTTCTATTAATGGAACTAATATTTGGATTTGAAAATTTAGAATTATTTCTGGTCCTTCTCCTTAAGTCTTCATAAGTAATGTTATTAAACCTAAAAAAAAAAATCAGTTTTAATTGTATATATGTGGCAGTGTATGGGTATATGCATACATGTGTGGGTGCCTATGGAAAGTAGAAGAGGGATCCCCTGGATAAGGAGTAATAGGCAGTTGTGAAGGGTTAGAGATGGATGCTGGGAACTGAACTTAGGTCCTCTGAAAAAAACAGTAAGTGTTCTTAAATTCTGAGCCATCTCTCCTGCCCTACTTAGTCAACTTCTGTTTTCCTTCCAAATTTACCATTCCTCTGCATTCCCACAGTATCAGCTCTCACCTCAACAAGTCTAACTTACTCTTAGGTGGTCTTCTGCAGCTGTTTGCTCTCTCTGCTGATTTTCAATGTATGCCATACAAAGTTACCAAGCAAACCTTTCTACAATGTCATGTTCATTATCACTACAATAATGTACAATTTCAAGAAATGGAATTGAAAGGTTCTTTTAGAACACTCTTATAAATTTATTTATTTATATAGTGGGTACATAGGTATCAGGCATCTTTTGGGAGTCAGTTCCCTTCTTCTACCATGTGGGTCCCAGGGACTGAACTCAGATCACCAGACCTAGCAGCTAGCACTTTTACCTGCTAAGACATCTCAGCAGCCCCTTATGTTTCCATCATGGAGAAATGATAACTATTTGAGTTTGAGGTGTATGTTTAACTTGATTTAAACAGTGGATAATGCATATATGCACTAAAGCATCAGATACTACCTCACACTTCACTTCCACATTTTATGTATCAGTTTAAAATATAAAACTAAAATTTTAAAGTATTAAAATTTCTAATGAAGTTCTTTGATAGTCTAGGAAATACACAATCTAAAGTATAAACTTTAAGCCAATACCTATATGAATGCACTGTCAAAACATGAAACTTCTAACATCCCTTTAGCATTATCCTAAAAACTATACTATATGGTATACGCTTGAAAACTTTAAACCAGGAAAATAGTTATTAAAAATAATAAAGCACCACTTGCCCAGCTTTTTGGCTAGGATTAAGTATAAAAATAAAAAAAGGAAACAAGTAGCAAAGATTACTTATGAGCCTACCAACTGCTGCACTCCGGCGCCCCCTAGTGTTGCTAATTCTAAGTGTCACCCTCTGTTTATTGTTGAATTTTTAAAACTGAAAATGAACAAGGTACCTCACCAACAGTGCTGCCTTGAACTGAGGTTCCAGGCAAACCCCAGGCTAGGTGCTTCATTCAACCCACATGTACTAGTGAAGAATGGAGACTATGGGAAGCATTGACTCTTGATGGTCCATGGGCAAAGCCTCTACATTTTCTAAAGTAAAGGCTAGGAAAGTGGTCTGAGAGGAGCAGTGCAGGAAGGGGCTTCCCTAAAGTTCAGTCAAGCTGGAGAGAATATTAAGACTATGCAGAAGTCAACAGGTAGGTCAGAACCAGAGAAAGAGCTATAGTAAAGTAGCTTTCCAAGAGATGCATCCTTTCTGCTGTTCTCTGTCCATACTGTAAGTTTTACCAGGCCAGGTGCCCATGTAGGAAACCTGCCAACAATCCATCAGCAACTGATGCGGTCTAATTCTGAGTTTCAGTTAATTAAGAAGCTCATCTGACCATGGATATGAACCACATTCTCCAATATTACCATCATTTGCAATTATAATGCTACTTGTGGCTGCCACATATTGTGCTTTTTCCTGTGTATCTTTTTACTGCTTTAGACCATACCACAAAGCAAGCTAGTTGAATTATTCCTCTAAAATTCCCCATCATTCTTATGACTTAAAGTTTACACCTGAAATCACCATTAGTTACATCTTGAAATTCATAGTCCTTAGGATAATGGCCCATATAGGCAGATGCTCAATGAGAAACTGATTTGCATACATATGCTGTATCTTAAAATACAAACACCTACCCTATGTTGAAAAAAGGATGGATCAAGATATTTATCGAATCGATCTTCAAATTTCACATCTGATTTTTTCCATTTTACCTGAAAAAAAATTCCCACTTGAAAATTAAGGCCAATAAATAATTAATAATCTGATGGCAAAACTCATAAAATTCAGACACTGACATACTTAAAATTGAAAGGTGAGACTATAACTGACAGTACCAGAGATTTAATTTCATTTTGTCATTTTATGTGTATGGGCATATGTCTGTGCACCACACATGTGCAGTGCTAGCAGAGACCTGAAGAGAGTACTGGGTCCCCTGGACTTAGTTAAGGTGCTGTGAGCTGTTATGCAGATGCTGGAAATTGAACCTGGGTATTATTTAAGAGCAGTCAGAGCTCTGCACCACTGGGCCGTCTCTTCCACCCCAGTATGAGAAGTTTAAACAAGTGTAATAGTATAGTTTGCCTTATAGGGATCATTTCAGCTTTCAAGGATGAATCACTACTGTTGACTAACACACTGACTCGATTCATGTGTTAGGATTAACACCAACTCACCAAGTGTTTAAACCAATTGTAATAAGAATATATACAATTTTATCTTTAAATTGTGGCTTTATGACAACTATTAAATTTCTTGTATAGTTATGTAATAACCACTTACACTGAGTACATATGGACAAAAAGAATTTTTGAGACTGGCTATAAGCAAGGGGATTCTTTTCAAAGATCAGGAAAATAACTGGCAAAAAAGAGAATCTCCCTATAGTGGACTTCCTCTTTTTCTTCCACCATTTTTAAGGTAACAGAATAGAATTAACTTCATAGTTGAGAAAGGACTTTGACAAGCTCTTACCGTGCAAGTCAAATAAAGCAAACCACAGCAATCTACACCTACCCGGCAATGTTCATGGCATCTCTATTTCCAACAGCAAATGAAAAGAGAACTAACATGAGTTTCTGCAACTTACAAATATAGGTTGAAGACACAGGGCTGAGTTGTCACCTACCAGGTGCCAATGATAACTGTGTGAGAACAAGGGTCATTAGGCCCATGCATGGCATCCCATCCCATAGACCTGAGGCACATCCTCTTCCTTTGGAGACTGAATGTAGATACCTTGAGGAATTTTGCTATATCTAATTTTAAGCTATATTTTTATTTTCTAAAACTTACAAACACAACCATTTCTATACACAATTATTTTAACTTACTGAATATGACATCTGTATTTTAGTATTTGGAACCAGTTTGACCTTTCCTTCACTCGTTAGATTAACATCAACAATTCTATTTCCATTAAAGCCTATTTCGAGTTTTTTGTAGGTCCAAAGATAGTAATCTTCCCCATTTTCATCTGCTTCACCAACAATACCTACAAAAGAAGAAACACTTTATACAAAGTAATACCACCGAGTCTTCACTCAACACCCAGAAGCTAAAAGTTCATCACATTTCTTTTCTATAAAGAGGCAAAACTGTCAACATCCTCATGATTAGCACAAGGTAAAAGTGTAGGCTGGACTTCTTAACGAACATGTGCCATGGCCACACTATTACAAAATAATGCCATGTTCAGCGTTAATGGTCACAAATGTGATACTCAGAACTCACTCTATGTCACCACTAGCACCTCTGCTGTTCCAATTATCATCTTACTGTGCATACTACCTAGTCTCTCTCTGTGTCTGTCTGTCTGTCTGTCTCTCTCACACACATAGAGGGGAGGAGAAGGAATTCATTTACCTATCTGTTCTAAAAACTAGACATAGGGTAAAGACATAATTTCTCTAAAAGGTGTTTCAAAGACTGAAACTTTTGTCCCACAAATGTCATCCTGGAATCTTTTTTTTTTTTTTTTTAACAAAGAAGGAAGAAGAATGCCCAGGTTCAGACACTACAGATTATGCAAAAATATTCACACATGGCAGCCCCTGAAATCTTTAAAGGGCTAGAGAAATTACTCCGTTAGGTAAGTCCTTGCCATACAGCCTGAGGATCTGAGTTCTATCTCCATAAAAAAAGCTGGGCATGGTGGTAGGTGCTTATAGTGAAGACTGGAAGAGTCTTAGGGCTCAATGGCTGCTACCTCTGCCTAATCAGTGAGTACCAGGCCAAGTGAGAGGCCCTGACTCAAAAACAAAATGAAGACATAACCCGAGGCACAACACCCAAAGATGACATCTGACCTCCACATGGCCACAATGGACATATACATAGAACAATTGTCACTGTTGCTAACGAGTTTTGCTAAAGCAGTAACTAAGAAAATAAAACCCAAATGCTGGGATTAAAGGAGTGAGGCACAATCCCCAGCATATGGATCTTTAGAAGCCCATAACAACAGGAAAACTATGAAAGTAGCCTGTTCTAACTATCTTCCACTACCCTCACAGCTGATCACAGAAGTGCCTATTTCCTATAACACTAATACAATCATTTATACAAAATGCTTATTAACACATAGAGAGTAATAACGATGCCTACAAGTATCTCTTGAAATTAACTTTTTTTAAAGACAGGGTCTCAATGTGGTCCTGGCTGGCCTGGAACTAGCTATGTAGTCTAGGATGGCTTTGAACTCACAAAAACACCTCCTGCCTCTTCCTCCCAAGAGATTAACTTTCTTATAAATTTCCTTAGCATATTAAACTCTGATCTAATGTGTTCAATCAGTTTTGCTGCAGACGAACATAATGATCAACTAACAAATTTAAGATTAAAAGATAGTAAGTTGTACATAAAGCGTATGTCTAGAGACAGAAAAAAACTGTAAGTGCCTATTCCTTGCATTTTAAATAATTATTTAAGTTATTTTTGGACTATGCGTAAGTTTGTATTAATCATATTGTGTCTCCTACCCAAAAGTATGGACATGCAAGAGCTAAAGAAGAATATTTCCTCAATACGAATGTTTTGGAAAATGACAAAGGAACTGTTAAGTAAAACATTCAAGAAATTATCATAACCCTTAAAAACATATTACTATAGTGTCATTTAAAAGTTTCAACTTTTAAAACTCCTATTTAGTCCCTCGAGTTATATTTTTAAAAAGCTGTACTTAAAAAGCTCTGAAGAAACTGGAGGAAATTTCAGATTGTTTCAAGAGCCTCTGAATTCCTTGGATCTGAAAAGTTACAGTGAATATAAACCTTTCATTTTGAGAGTTTCTTATAAGGTCTGGCAGTATCAAAAATGTCTCCAGTAGGAGGTCATAAAATCAGCCTTAAAGACTATCCGGGGGCAACAGTGGAAATACGTTCCCATCAGGATCTGGAACAGCCACCTTAGCACACTGGTTACAGGAAATCTTACTACATGACAGAATACTTACCCCATATTGGTAAGTCATCTATGTACATCTGATACCAATAGTGATTCTTGATAGCATATACAAATGCATCTCTCTTCTCCTTATCTAAATCAATTTCACAGTAAGTACCTGGCATCACATCATCTGTAAAATAAAAATTACAAATTAAACCCACTGGCTTGCAAAATAGTTACCGGAAATATAGCACAAAAAGAAAAGTCAGCATTTGCTGAAGTGAATGCCTATTCCCAATAGTTCAATCTGGTGATAAGCATATGGGAGCTCAGTATGCTATCCTTCCCAGTTTTTTTATATCTCCCATTACCTTGTAATAAAGGATTTTGATCATCTTTATTTTCAAAGATTACCTTTTATGAGTAAACCCCTCATATAAAGAAAACGATTCAAGAACAGCAAAGTCACTTTAAAATAAATAAACTGATATAAAAAACCAACAACAAAGAAGCTTAAGGCACATAAAGAAATTTTCATTTACTGTGTGGGAAAGCTTAAGAATAGGAGTATAAGCCAGGGTAACAGTGTAGCTTAAGGTCACTTGCACTGCACACTCCAATAGCATAGAAACCACAGTCATCATGGCCAAAGATTCCTCATAACCATTAAAATCACAAGGCTAGCTTCTATCTAAAAGCATCTGTTTATAAATCACTCAAAAATCCCCTAAAGATGAGTCATTTCTATTCTTGATTGCTTGCAAAAACAGTATCCTCATAAATTGTGTCCAGAGAGTCTTTAATTTCTAATGTTTTAAAAATGTGTTTGTTTAAAAAATTCTAGATATAAAAAGGATTAAACTGTTTTGATACATTACTTAAGCAATTACAAAAAATTTAAATCAATCTTAAGAACAAAAGAAAGATACATTTTCTTATACTAGTATTCTGGTAATTTAAAATCTGAAGTGTAGTTTCCCACAGAAATATGAAATTTCTTAAATATTGACTATTTTTTAAGGACTGTAGTTCAATACTGAATGGTTACCTGGGACACTATTTCCTTAACAACTAGCGGTCTGTATTACAACTTGATATTATAGAACATGTCAGAGAAAACAGCTTTCCCTCATGAGAGATTGCCCCAGAGTGGATCCATGCAAAATGACAAAACAAAGCCATGTCCCAAGGAAGAAGGACAGGAAAGACCCACCTACTCTTCTTCTCTAAGAGACTAATGCCACCTTTGACTTACACACACATTTTTTTTTTTTTTCTAGCTCAACCCTTTTAAGCAACAAAGAATTTAGGATTTTCATAAAGTAATAACTGACACTGGGCAGTAAAGAGTTAGGAAATGAAACTGCTCTATAGAATTTCTACACAAAATCTAAAACTGTTGTTAGGAGGAGCCCAAAAAAGACCTCTGTGAAGTACAATGGGCAAGGGTAAGAGCAGCTCAGGAGGGACTGCTGAGACCAAAAAAGCCCAGGCTTGGAGGGCAACAAATTGTTCTAATGGCTGTAGGAGACTCACAGTCACCCTGCAAAGCCATTTTAAGTTTACTGTTACAAAAAGGGCCTCTTTAAAACAGTCACTATTGATGTGATCGTACAAAACTCTGTAATACACAATATGTGTTTACCAACATAAAGGATTCCACACAGTGTAACTCCAACTCAACAGTTTTCTAACAGACATATCTTCTTCCCCTTCCCTCTGACAGGGCTCAACTACCTGTAGTCCCTGCACACATGGACCCTCTGGCCTATGGAACTTGGGGCTCCCACTAACTCTAGCAAGAAGGCCATTCTAAAATCTTTATCATTGCTGCAATTCTCCCCAGAACAGTTGCTCATTTCTACCCCCCCCGTAAGTTGCCCCTTTTATTGAGGTTCCTAGTTTGTTTTTTTTTCATCCCAGTGCAGTTTTTTTTTATTAATTACACTTTATTCATTTTGTATCCCCCCATAAGCCCCTCCCTCCTCCCCTCCCGATCCCACCCTCCCTCTCCTTTCTGCATGCATGCCACTCCCCAAGTCCACTGATAGGGGAGGTTCTCCTCTTCTTTCTGATCTTAGTCTATCAGTTCTCATCAAAAGTGGCTGCATTGTCCTCTACTGTGGCCTGGTAAGGCTGCTCCCCCCTCAGGGGGAAGTGATCAACAAGCAGGCCAATCAGATTATGTCAGAGGCAGTCCCTCTTCCCATTACTATGGAACCCACTTGGACACTGAACTGCCATGGGCTACATCTGTGCAGGGGTTCCAGGTCATCTCCACGAATAGTCCTTGGTTGGAGTATGATTTTCTGGGAAGTTCCCTGTGTTCAAATTATCTTGTTCTGTTGCTCTCCTTGTGGAGTTCCCGTCCCCTCCAGCTCTTACTATTTCCCACTTCTTACATAAAATTCCATTCACTCTGCCCATCAGTTGGCCATCAGGCTCAGCATCTGCTTTGACAGTCTATACTGCAGAGGCTTTCAGAGGCCCTCTGTGGCAGGTTTCAAGGTTGTTTCCTCTTTTCTTCTGGCTTTCAGAGGCCCTCTGTAGCAGGTTCCGAGGTTGTTTCCTATTTTCTTTTTCTTCTGATGTCCATCCTCTTTGCCTTTCAGGATGGGGATTGAACATTTTAGTTAGGGTCCTCTCTTTTGCTTAGTTTGTTTAGATGTACAGATTTTAGTGGGTTTATTCTATGTTGTATGTTTATATGAGTGAGTATATACCATGCGTGTCTTTTTGCTTCTGGGACAACTCACTCAGGATGATCCTTTCCAGGTCCCACCATTTACCTGAAAATTTCATGATTTCCTTATTTTTCATTGCTGAGTAATATTCCATTGTATAGATGTACCACAGTTTCTGCATCCATTCTTCAGTTGAGGGGCATCTGGGTTGTTTCCAGCTTCTGGCTATTACAAATAAAGCTGCTACAAACATGGTTGAGCAAATGTCCTTTTTGTGTACTTGCACCTCTTTTGGGTATATGCCTAGGAGTGGTATGGCTGGATCTTGAGGAAGCACTATTCCTAGTTGTCTGAGAAAGCGCCAGATTGATTTCCAGAGTGGTTGTACCAGTTTACATTCCCACCAGCAGTGGAGAAGGGTTCCCCTTTCTCCACAACCTCTCCAGCATGTGTTGTCCCTTGAGTTTTTCATCTTGGCCATTCTGATGGGTGTAAGGTGAAATCTCAGGGTTGTTTTGATGTGCATTTCCCTAATGGCTAATGAGGTTGAGCATTTCTTTAAGTGCTTCTCTGCCATTCGATATTCCTCTACAGAGAATTCTCTCTTTAGCTCTGTTCCCCATTTTTTAAGTGGATTACTTGGTTTATTGCTTTTCAGCTTGTTTAGTTCTTTATATATATTGGATATGAGTCCTCTGTCAGATAAAGGGTTGGTGATGATTCTTTCCCAATCTGTAGGCAGTCGCTTTGTTTTGATGACGGTGTCCTTTGCTTTACAGAAGCTTTTCAATTTCATGAGGTCCCATTTATTGATTGTTGCTCTTAGAGCCTGTGCTGTTGGTGTTCTGTTCAGGAAGTTTTCTCCTGTACCAATGAGTTCTAGGGTATTCCCCACAAGGTTCCTAGTTTTATCACCAATTTATCATGACAATCTGTAAAAAGGACGCTAATTGGTCATCTTAATGAAATTTGTCTTTCAGACATGAAGGCGAATACAAACATCACATATAATTCAAGAGCCTGGTGCCAGAGCAAAACAACACTTCTCTCAGGAGGGAACTGCTTTGAAGACAGTGTGTGCAAAGATGCCAAGTCACTGTCTGCAATCTATATAACTGAAAGACTAGCTAAAAAATCTCTCACCGTAAATCACTGAAAATGAGAACAGAACATACCTCCCTTGGGTAAAACACAAACCTACAAATTCTGAAGAAGATGCGCCTGAGGTGTTAGCAATACAAAAATCTTGAGGAGGGGATGGTAACAAAGCCACAAGTTAGCAAATGTTAATGCTTATTTTTTTAAACAGATCACCATACTAAGTAGATCCCAGAACCTAAGTGCCTGTGTCTACCCAATCAAAGTCCAGAAAGCAACTGGCAGCACTGCATACACTGAGTTCCCTGAGCATGTGCCATCCCACCTTACTTACACTTTCTTTTTTGATGGCTTTACTAAAATGGAAAAACAGACTCTTACCTCAAAAACTATAGTGCTTAACAAAGTTATCCTGAATCACCATGTATGTACACAGAGACATGGGCAAAGTCGTGAGTTCCACTACTTACTAGCTACTGAACAAAAGCAAATCTTTAATCTCTGTGACCCTCACCACAGTCCCTCAACTGTGAAACTGAAAACAATTGTGCTGGCTCCTTCCCAGAATCATTTTAAGGCTGGAGTGTGAATGTATTCACAGTATTCTTAAGCATTTTTGCCCTCACACTCTTGAGAATCTTATGAAAATGTAACTTCCCCTGCCACAACCTACCCTGACCCCACCCTGCGAATGTACATTCACACAAATGTAGTTTTAGAGTGTTGATGGATGGACCCCACTACATTCACAGCCCAGCCCAGTCTGGAATACAATTACATACTCAGTAACTGCCAAATAGATTTTATAAAACATGGACTGGAAACACTGGTATATACACAGTTAATTTTTTTTTTTTTTTTAACTATACAAAAGGTACAGATTAACATAGCAACCTGACTGGCAACTGGGCTCAGTACAACCCTGTAATCCTAACCACTTGGAAGCTAATCCAGAAGGACTGCAAGCTCAAAGTCAGCTAGGGCTACAGAGGAAGCCCAAAGCAAGGCAATGTAACTTAGCAAGATTGTGTCTCAAAAAGTAAAAACAAGGGCTGGAAATGTAGCTCAGTGGGAAAACATGAGGTCCTCTCCTCAGTTCAAAAAGAAAGGAAGGGAGGGAGGGAGGAAAAAGAAACAGCCTTAAAATGTGTATAGCCTTTTAGATAGACAGATAGACAGACAGACAATGTATATGTAGATATGTATACATACATGTGTATATATAAATATGTTTAAAACCTTCAACTTAGTAATTCTACTTCTAAGAACTTATGCTTGTAAAAAATTTATAGATGCATTACAATACCCTATACAAGAACTGCCAAATGCTGTGTTATTTCTAAAAAGAAAGAAAAAGAGAAAGGAAGGGAGATCACCTTGCAACTAGAGTGGGGAAAATTACATATTC